GGTAATATGCAATATTAGTAGCTTCTTAAATCTTAACACCTTTTGGTTTATTACTTTGCAGGCTTCGAACTTCGAAGCTATAGGATGTTAGCAAGCAATACAACACCTAAAATCCAAGTACAAGTGCAGTAATACTTCCATTTTTAGGAAGTATTTAAGGAATTTTAAGCAAAAATATAGTAACATGGTACGGGAGTAAAAATATAGTAAACTTTATCGTGGTTTTACTATCGTGAGAATATTGTAACAATACAAAAACTTGTAAGGCTTTTTATTTCCTCACTTGTAACATATATTTGTAAATTATCTACACTTTTGTCTATACTGCGACATAATTTAAATAAGATTGTATATTTATACGCTTCTTTTCTTAATCTTACGAAAACTAGGAAGTCTGTTTTTGGACTTATTCTCAATAAGGTTAAATCTATAAACATTTCATCAAGTCGTTCCATATTTCCGGAAGTATGCTTGTGACAAACATAAATTAATTCATAATTTAGTGTAAAGAAAAGTTAACATTTAGTTTCTTTACTATTCCCAAACCACTAATCCAATTGAAGTTAATCCGAAAAATTCAAATTTGTAGACTAAACAAACCCGATGGTAATATTAAGAGTTTTGTTTTCTTGTTAAAATTGTAATATTAAGAGGTTTGAGCTAATTGAATTGATATCAACTCAATATAGTCTTGAAACCAAAAAAAAAAAACATAACTCCTAAAAATAAGTAAGAAAAAAAAAGACAAAGGAGTCCAATAAGAATAAATGAGAAGCAAAAAGGAGGACATGTGGGAATTAATAAAAAGGCACAACAAAAAGGACTCTTTGTCTGTCATAGGACAAACCAAATGTGACCAAAACATTATTTCTCTGCCTCTCATTAAACCACTTCACTAACTATTTTTTGCATACATTTATGAATTTTCTGACCAAAAACCCTACTAGTAGTACCAACTATAACACCACAAAAACAAAATAGAATTGTTTTTTTTCCCTTTTTAAATTAGCTTTTACTCAATGTTATAGGTTCCAACTAATATCATGTTGTTGTATTATTATTGTAGTAGTAAATATTGTTTTCTCTATTTTTCAAGAAAATTTTGATGTCCATAACGCATTTTCAGGTTCACCACAACGTTCGTGAACAACGGCCATTCGCTCGGCCGATCGACAGATTCCGCTGCATCTCCAGTCGAACGATGCCGCACAAACATTACCCGTAACTGCTTTTAGTTCACAATCTGCGTTTCAAAATTAAATTAAATGAAACAAAATGTTTCTAAAAACCTTGTTGATATTTCATATCATTTTACCATATTTATTTTTGTTTTTTACCTTTCAAATCAAGTAACCG